CCCAAGATGTTTTAAGCATATGATGTCTGCTAATTGATGGACTCCTCAACAAACACCGAGGAATATGTATTATGACTCCTTTTTATAGTTAGATATCTCAGTCACTGTTATGTTGCTGTGAAGAGACACCATGACCATGGCAACTCTTATAAAAGAAAAGATTTACTTGGGGCTCCCTTACAGTTTCAGAAGTTTAGTCCATTATCATCATGGCAGAAGCATGGCAGGCAGACATGGTGCTGGAGAAGAAGTAGCTGAAAGTTCTACATCTGGATCTACAGGCAGCTGAAGAGAGATGCTCTGGACTTGGAATGATTCTTTGAAACCTCAAAACCCACTCTAGTGACACACTCCCTCCAATAAGGACACACCCCCTAATTCCTTCAAATGGTGCCACTCCCTAGTGATCAAGCATTCGAATCTAGGAGCCTATGGAAGCCATTAGAGTAGCCTTCACATTAGGGAAGCTGAGGCCCAGGGAGGTTTCTTTCCAAAGTTGTGTGAGCAATGGATCCTGTCTCAATCTTGTCTACCCTACTGCCTACTGCTTACATTTTTTTTCTCTTGTCTTTTGCAATGATCAAACCCAGGCAGAAATGCATTCTATTGAGCTGGACCTCCAGGCATTTAAAACAAATTTGCTATTCTAAGACAAGGTATCCCTAAGTTACTCAGGCTGGTATTGAACTCACCCTGTAGTCCAGCTCAACCTTAAACTTACAGACTCATGCCACTTGTCAAACTACTTAAACCATCTTTAAATGTGTGATCTGCAGAACATAATCTGATTTCCTTCCTTCCAGCTCTCAACAATACACACAAAGATCCTTCCCAGGCATTAGCAATGACATCCTAACTTCCTGTTCTAGTGGCCTGCTCTTCTTCCTCATTCAACTTCCTCTCCCTGGGGTTTCATAATACTTATATTCCTGCATTGCTCTCTAACTTGCTCCAATTTTGTCCTCCATCCTTTTAGCTGACTCAGCTACTTCTTCCACTGGGGAGAGCAGTAAGATCTGTCCTTCACCAACTTCACTCCTGATTCCAGTATTAAGGAAGGAGTCTCATAGAGACTGGATATGTATAGAAAGCCATCACTTGGAATAGTCTTTAAGCTACCTAAGATATTGGTTGTTATGCTTTAAATGTGAAATAACCCCCATAGGCTTGTGTTAACTCCCCCTTGCTGGTAATGCCTCATGGAATGTTGGGAACTTAAGGGCTAGTTTCTGGTCCTGCCTTCTGCTTTCTGATCTGCCAAGATGTGTAAACTCTCTAATGCGTGCGCATACACACACACACACACACACACACACACACACACACACACACACACTGGTTTCCATGAACTCTCCCTACCCTAATTGAGATGATGGGCTGAAACTTCAAGCCAAAACAAATCCTTCCTCCCTCAGGTTGCTGTAAGATATTTAACATAACCATGAGAAAAGAAACCAATATACCAGTTATCCAGATATATCCCACATTTTGTTAGAGGGAGAAACAAGAGATGGATTGTCTATTTCTTCAACGTCTGGGGAATTTAATCAAAAGCACGTGAGAAATCGCAGACCATTGGGCTATATACCTCCTTTTTTCCTGCTTCCAAAATAGGTCGTACTCCAAATAACTACTTCTCCTATCTTAAAAAAGATTCTTTTATATGCATATATTTAAAATCATGGAAAGAGAAATTGGAGAGTAGAAAAGAAAAGAAATATTGGCAAAGATAATATGGGGTAGGGGACCAAAAAGGACTTGCAGCCTTGGATCCAGGCCTAATCACTATGGAGAACAGGTTGGGACTTCACTGAAGACTGAGCAGTCCAGCACAGTCTGGGGAGGTAAGACCATGAGGCAGTTTTGACACGACTTGCTGAAGGGAGAAAGAAGTGTTTACATTTGTGACCTCTAGGTTGTACAAGTATGTCCCTTCTTTGATTCTTTACATTCAGAAATGGCAATAAATGGCCTCGTCGACTGCTGTCATGTCAACTATTAGATAGCCTACTGAATGGTAAAACCACTGCCCTCTTAACTTTCTGTGTATTTTCACTTTATCTTTACAATAATCCCATGCAGCAGGAGCTAAAATTGTATTTGCTTGCAAGGAAATCATGAATCTTGTCAGGAAAAGAGAAGAGGAATATTATCTAAGGTCATCTGCCTCTTAAACCAATGTTCTTAAGTAATTATATTGTCTCTAAATGTGATGTCCACCAATTATTTGTCATCAGGGAAATGTAAATGAAAACCACACAAGACATTGTTCTGCAGCCATTGGAACGACCTCAACCAAGGCTGGCATCTCCACATGTGCACAGAGAGGATGATCAACTGGAGCACTCATATGTTTCTGGTGAAGGGGAAAATGCTTTCTAAAAGGTTGGTGAAAGACTGTTTAGCAATGGCTAATCAGTTTAAATACATATTTGTATGTTGGCATCCACAATCTCACTCCTATTTTATTTACCCAGGAAAAATGAAAATTTTCCATGCAAATATCTCTATAACAATGTCCTCAGTTGCTTCCATTGTGAAAGTCTCTTAACAGAAACAGCTTAGTGTGTGGGGAAAAAATGGAAAAGCCAATGCTAATATGCACCTTTATCAGAATGTTTAAAAATACAAAGGAAGGAACTAAATAAACTCATGAACGCATGACAAAAAATGCATCTTCCGGATACAGCATTGTGAACAAAAACCAGGCATGCTGTATGATTCCATTTCTATAAAGTTCTCAAAGGGAGAAACCTAAACCATAGTTTTGCAAAACGCAAAAATGATTCATGAGTCAGTGGCAGCTTCCTCATAGGGTAAAAGGGGCTGGCTTAGAGGAAATACAGGAGCACTTTCTGTAATGAGAAAAACTACATATTTTCTATATCTTGATGACGTGAGGATTGTATAATTGCATACATTAGTCAAGACTGCAGTTTGGATCATAGCACCTTAATGTCTGGGACTTTACCTCAAAAAATAATCTGCAGAAATAGAGCTGTGGAGATAACTAGGTCATAAAATGCTTGCCATGCAATCTCAAGGACCGGGGGTTAACCCCAGCACCTAGGTTAACAAGCCAGGCCCAGCAATGCTTGCCTGTGCCCACCAGTGAACTGAGAACAAGGTGACACCTAGAGCTTATAGATTTGATGACATTGTCAATTGCAAGCTTGCAATTGGCAATGTTGCTAGGTCTACAAGCTCTAGGTTCAGGAAAAGAGCCTGGCTAAAAAATAAGGAAGTGGCCAGACATGTGGTATGCATCATTAAACCCAGCACTTGCTTGGGAGGCAGATTTCTGCAAGTTCAAGGCCAGGCTGGTGTATATAGTTAGACTGTGTCTCAAAGAAAGATAGACAGACAGACAGAGAGAAAGAGACACAGAGAGACAGAGAATTTCCCTGTAGTGCACAGTTTTAATTGAATTCTACCAGCAGCTCCCATAAACTCCATAGAGGCCTCTGAGCCTCAGATGAAATTACAACCCCAGCTAGGTGTGGCACATGCCTGGAATGCTAGTACCCAGCACTTAGGAGGTAAAGGCTGGAAGATGAGATGTTCAAAACCACCTTCGGTTACAGAGTAAATCTGAAGCCAGCCTGGGCTACCTGAGACACTGCAAAATTCAGAGCACACTTGGCTGTCCATTGTCTCATGCCAGTGAGCAGCATGCAACCTAGATTAGAAGTGGGTGAACACCCTTTCTCCCTTTCTTCTCATTCCCTTCAATGTTCCAAGCACTCTGACCTTTTCTCTTGTCTCGGTTTCCCAGTTTAAACGTTCAGTGATGAGGGTCTTCAAGGTCTATTCATTCCACCCAGAACTTCTCATCGTCTTTGATGTTTGCTGAATAATATTGCAGCTTCCAGACCAGTTTAGCTCTTTGCCTCTCACACCCTTGCCTAATCAACACAGTGGAACCCCTAAACTAAGACAACACACTGCACTGAGCCTTGTAGCTTCACAGCCACTCTGTAAATAGTTAATAGGCTCATATACATACTGTGTCTCACTGAAATGGTCCAGGAATGTATTCAGTATTTATCCTCAGAGACTCACATAGCTGCTGCACAATGAATAAGTCATGTTTCTTGCCTGTCCTCAGAGGAGTAAGACTCACATACCACCAAAATTATGAGAATACAACCTCTGTCACATGTTCCCTGTTGGTGAGTTAAGGGACTTAGACCCAGGGAGGCTCAGGAACCCCCCCCCAATCTCCATCTCTTCCTGCCTCACTGTAAAGTTGAAGGAACAGCATCTTTCCATCATTATCAAGAAAGTAAGGGTAAGAAATGAGGGTTGTGGTTCTCATCATTCAGGTAGCTAGACTGAGTGGCATTCCCAACAATCCATTACTGTTTGTGAGCCAACTGTCACATGAAATACGTGAAAATGATTAGAGGAAAAGGCAGGTCACAGATGGGGAGGGGCTGTTGACAATGTCAGCTTTGTTCTGAGTCTCAGGACAGCAGTGTGAAGAGAGACTCCAGGACATTTTGGCTTGATGAGGGTGTGTGGTGGAACAGGGGTGGTCAGCTCAGCTGTTACTGTGAAACCCCCGGGAAATCGTCCTGCCACAGCTAATGTGAGGACTCACAGCATGTGGCCGCCTCACACTGTGAGTCAGACACCCACATCCTGTTTTCTCGAGCTCGCTCTTGTTCTCCTTTTAAGAGCCATATCAAAGAGATGATGTCTTATGTCTTCAGAGGATGCCTGTTGCTTTTTAGCAGAAAGAAAATGTATGTGTGTGCTCTACAGAAGTCCACCAAATGTGGGCCAGCCTCATTTCCCCCCATGCTTGGAAGTCTGAGCTGCAGAGCAGACAGTAATTGCACACAGTAAATCATTTGGTATCAATTAAACAGTGTTCTCTTTGAAGAAATGGCATCTATTTAGTTTGAGCCAATATCATTTGAGTAAACTTACAAAGAATTATAAAGTGTTTATTAATATTAAACTTGACTTTAACATTAAACCAATTAGACATTTTGTTCTGGCTGATTCTCTGAGCTTACAAAAGCTTATATTGTGGATATAAAGTTCTGATTATGCTTGACGAGGTTCCATGTTTTTGAACTTTATCCATTTATTTTCTCAGGCTAAAATAATAATCAGGCCACTGGATCAATGTAATTCCTTATATTTACTCTTTTTTTCTTCAATTGAAGACTTTAGCTCTGGAGGGGAGGAGAGAAAAGACAGTAAAATATAAATTGGAATTAAATCAAGACTCAGGAGAAATTCATTCTGTTTCTCTAGTTTGAAATATCCATTCTGTTCATGGGGCTTTCAATCACTTATGGACAAAATTTGATAGCTCCCCAGTGATCAGAGAGGAGAATCACAGACAAATACCTCACTTGGCAGTCATCTCAAGGAGGATTTAAGGACATCATAGCATGCTTCCTAGGCTCTCTTGAATCTTTTGGAGCTTTGATGCTGTGCTCCCACACGGCTTGGCAAAAAAAAAAAGTCTCTTTCTCGAGAATTAGAAAGTCTATAATGTTCCTGATCTACTGCAGTCCTCTGCTAATTTTGGTTCCTCACCTAGTCTGACTTCCTTAAGCCTGGCCTAAGTTTTTCAGACCTCACATTGCCCTTTCATATTAACTTCCTAGAATGAAGGTATTGCAGACTTGGACTAAGTATCAGAGGTAAGGCTGCGTCATGCCACCAGTTTCCCAACGTGTCTTCTGGATTTCAGTTGGTGGATGCTTATGAAGCTGCTGTTGTCAAACGATACTCAAGAATGTCATACAAAACATCCTGTATTTCATTTCTGTTCATGTGATGTGAACTTTATTAGCATGATTCTATATTAAAGTATAATACGTTTAGAGCATGTGATACCAAAGAGGATAATAAAGATAAAAGAAAGCCAGGCAGGCCGGGCGTTGGTGGCGCACGCCTTTAATCCCAGCACTTAGGAGGCAGAGGCAGACAGACCTCTGTGAGTTGGAGGCCAGCCTGGTCTACAAAGCGAGTTCCAGGACAGCCTCCAAAACAATACAGAGAAATCCAGTCTTGAAAAACCAAAAAAAAAAGACAATTCCTATTTTTGTCAGTTAATTTCTAACACCAATCAGCTAATCAATAAATACCATGACATCTTCATTCATTTAACATTAATGCCCCTTTGAGAAACATGTATACCAACTAATAGAGCATTTTAAATCCCCAAAGGTGGTATTTGTTATAGTACAGATTTAGAAACAGTCTTATTTCTACTTCTAAAACTTGTTTAACTGCATTTTGTCTCCACTGTTGTTCTAAATGATTCAATCTGAATAAATGAAGCGCATTATGTTTATGAACTGAAAATTTTGCAAATAGAATAGGCTACAAGGAAAGATAGAAATGAGTATGATAAGATAGCTCTGAGTCATTGGTATACTAGGTTCAAGTATTTATTCAATTCTTAAGAAAAAGAACTGAATTACAGACTAACACACACGATTCCAAGGAGGCTGCCAAAGACCACTTAAGAAAAGATACTTCATTAGGCACTCTATAACTGCCCCTTAGACCTCTCAAACTGAATGACTCTCCATTTGGCTTTTATGTTCATATTTTATAGAATTGTGTGCTTGTTTTCAGGATCACCAATATATAAAAGAAGGAATTAGCACTGAGTCTTTGGAAGAGGAACTTTGAGATCAGATGGCTCTTGGTTGACCCTAGGTCTTCCCTCTACTGAACCCAGATTACCAGTTGTTCTTGAGTAACAGTTTTCTCTTCTAGAAAAATCAGAATCATCAAATTTATTTTCTTAAAAGTTGTTTTCCTGAGCCGGGTGGTGGTGGCACACACCTTTAATCCCAGCAGACGGGAGGCAGAGGCAGGCAGATCTCTGTGATTTCGAGGCCAGGCTGGACTGACAGCCTCCAAAACAATACAGAGAAACCCTGTCTCATTAAAAAAAAGTTGTTTTCCAGGAGGCAAAGATGTCACATTTTTAGATGTGAAAAGACCATATTATGGTAACTGGCCTGTTTGTGACTACCCTTCTGTGACTGGGCTTATGGATATAGTCTCTAAATTAAAGTGGAGTATATCCACTAAATGCAAGTCCTTTGCTCATGTTAAGCTGGTAAATCAGCGAACGAGGAGGTTTGTATGAATTTAAAAAGAGAAGACTCACTCTCTTAACCTCATGCCATTGTGGTCTGAATATGAAGTGCCCCCACCACAGGCTCATACATTTGAATACTTGAATCTCAATGTCTGGAGATGGTAGAGCATTCTGGACTGTAGCCCAGCTAATGGCTGCAAGTTACTGCTGGTGGGTCTTAAAAGTCATATCCATCTCTGGGTCTAGTGCAACATACCTCTCTGCTCTTGATCTGCCATGATGAAGCCATGCTACACATTTCATCCACCACAAACCAAGCTGCCCTAGATGCCATTCCTTCCACAGCAGGATAGAGTGACATCACCAGAACTATGAGCCCAAACAAACCTTCCACCTTCAGGTTATCCCTGTCCAGTAGTTTGTTCAGACACAAGAAATGTAACTAATTTTTGTGTGACCTGGACCCCATTACCTACAGATCCACAACAGACAAGCCCTCTGGCTCACCTGTCACTCAGCTCACCCAAGGGAAAAGAGTAAGTGTCGAGGTATTCTATATTTGTCAGGGTTCTCTAAAGAAATGGAATCAATATGATATGCACACATAGACAGAGATTTAGTTCCAGGAAGCAGTTCATGTGACTGTAATGTCTGGCAAGGCCAAATTCTACACTGTAGGCCAGCAGGATAGAAATGAAAGGAGGAGCTAAGACTGAAGCTTAGGTCAGAATTTTGCCTGCTAGAGAATCCCATCATTCTTTTTATTATAAAGCCTTCACCTGATTGGATGAGGCCTGCCTTCACCTGATTGGATGAGGCCTGCTTTCACTTGATTGGATGAGGCCCAGCCTCATTATCTGGGGACAGGTGTGGATCTCCTTTACTCAACATGAACTTACTCAAATTGCAATCTCCTCCAAACATACTCTTAGAAAATCAGCTAAAATAATGGCTGACTATATGAGTATGATATGTATTCAAACCCTGACCCTTCAGCATAGCAGATCTACAAAAATGGTATAAGCTGTTGGACATTTATAAATAGGACCAAGAAACCTCTGTATAAGGTTGTGAGTATTGCTGTAATAAGAATTAGTGATATGGATGAGGATCCAGCCCTGAGTGGTACCTGACATGTAGTGTGTGTACAGTAGCTGAAGTACTCTTTCTTCATGAAAATAAAACAAGAAGTTCAGTTGAAAGAAGATATAGGCCGAAGGCTTGCTGGTTGACTCACGGCTTTTCGCAAATTGGATTTCCTTTAAGAAATGGCTTTAAAAAATCTTGTTAAAATAAAACACTCCATTTTCCGACTTTTAAAAACATGCTTCCCACCCAGTTCTATTTCCTGGGCCTTTTCCCTGTTCTCTGTCACAAGCTGCTATTTTCTTTTGCACATTTTTTGTCACATTGAATTGCCAGGTGTAGGTCAGTAGATGTCACAGGCATAACAAAGAAAAGGAAAGGCTTTTTGTGCTTCTATTCCTGTAAGCAAAGAAATTACTCACTGTTTTTTCAAAAAAGAGGCCAAATAAGTGAGCTGTGCTAGTAGAATTTAGATGAGAGTGCTGGCTGAAATATTTGAACAGAGATCTATTAAGCAGAGAACTTTCAAATGAGCTATGACTGTGCTCTCTATATCCTTGTCATTGGACCCTTAGACATCCATACATGTGCAATTCATTCAACTGCTACAGAATATCTTAGGTGTGGCATGTTTCTACACAAATAAGTCAGTAGCTCTCATTGACATGTACAAGGAGCAATACATCCAAATCAACATCCTTTGAAAATCAGTCACAAATGAGGGACAACAGTGCATAAGACATGTTAACTTTAACCTTAGCTTCATTTGCTATAATTTCACATGATATCACTCTTTGATGAAATAGTTCAATAAACAAATTATGATCATTCTCAGGAACTATGAAGCACAGAATAACCATGCCTACTACATCAACAACAAAGTCTACAAGAAATTTCAAAATCAAAACCATGGGGTCAGAGCATATCCAACACCGCTTGTATTTTTGTGTTGTAGCCGTGAAAGGTCTCTGGGTAAGACACAAGCCTCCATGCTTGATACTCCATGTGATGTTAACTGTAAGTAAGTCAGTTAACCTTTCTGGGCTCATCATTCATCCTGGTGTTGAGATCCTTGCCACCGTCATCTGAAAGCACTTGACACAACTAATGTAGACTGGCAGGAATGGACAAGCAGTAGCTAGTATTTATTGTGAACTGAGGATGCGTTGGACACCATTATTGTTAGTATGTTTTCACTGTGTTTCTCATTTAAATTTCGTAACATCACTGTGAAGGTGGAATCATGTTCCTAGGACATGACAAATTTAAGATAAACTCGTTGAACAGGGTTGAAGCCTTAATAGGCATTAAACTCAGACTTCAGATCCAGGCATGCCAGCTCCAGAAGTCCTTCCTTAAGCTCCACCTCCTTTAGGTTGAAGGTTTAAAGGATTGCTGAATTTGGAAAACCTACCCTGTTTCATTTTGCCAAAGAAGAGACTGAAATCAAGGGCACAATGTAGCCAGAAGATGTTTTGTTTCAAACATCCATGTCCATAGTTTCTTCTCTCTGGGGAAAGGATGACACAAAAATAACTTTTAGTGACATGTAAACAAGAGTGGAATGTGAGATCCAGATAGGAACAGTAAATGTGACAGATCATAGGCCTGATGGAGATAGAACATGAAGATAAGAATTGAATAAAGAACCTTGCAGAGATGAAGATTTTATTTCTTAGTTTGTGTTTTTTCTCTTTTATTCTAGAAGTTTCTGGGGCTATGAGCTAGCACTAGAACTCAGTAACTTGAGAAAGCCACTGTCAGCTTTGGACTCAAGCGGAAATCCAAATCCCTGGCTGACAGAAATTATCAGGCAAAACACAGCAGCGACTTCATGATTAGATTAAAAGGGGCCTTGTTTTTCTTCCTGCTATACTTTATTTTCTTCCTGTTCTGAGCCCATTTTATTTTATTTTATTTAACCTGCTATCATAGATGCAACGAGAAGTACTGAACATTAATGAGGCAATGCTCCTGACATGGTTTAAAAAAAATCCAGTGTGCCAGGCGGTGGTGGCGCATGCCTTTAATCCCAGCACTCGGGAGGCAGAGGCAGGCGGATTTCTGTGAGTTCGAGGCCAGGCTGGACTGACAGCCTCCAAAACAATACAGAGAAACCCTGTCTCGTAAAAAACCAAAAAAAAAAAAAATCCAGTGACAAAAACTTGCATGTGGTGAATTTCTGGGCCATAGAAAGTGTAAACCGGTTGAGATAGTTTTCATATCCTTTTCTGTTTGCTTTATAGTGCTGGCGACTGAACTCTTGCGCATGTTAGGCAGCTACTCTGTGGCTTAACCCGGAAGGTTGATCCTTTTATATCATGAACAAGACTTAAAATAATCAACTGCCTCTTAGTATTAGCCAAATTAGCCCTGTTGGTGCTTTGACCAGTTCATTTTGGAAATTTCTATATTCTATATTCTCAAAAACTGTAACTTCAAAAAAGAGAAATAAAATATCTATGTCATTTTTAAAACTCAGGAAGTGGGCAATCTGACTGATATATTGTCTTATATGTAGGAGGAAATTAAATCACAATATGAAAACACATTTTTAAATTTTTTCCTCAAAACTAACATCCTGAGAAAAATACAGGGCTTGTGATGGAATAATTGATTAATTCAGGTTTTTAAATTATGTCTTTTCAGTTCTACCCTCCAAAACAGGACTAAAATTCTAGGGAAAAAGAAGTGCTTGCCCTGTCTGTCTGTCTGTCTGTCTGTCTACCTATCTATCTATTTTGGAAACTTGATTAATCCAGTTTCCTAAAGTATGTCTGTTCAGTTCTAATCCCCCTCCAAACAGGAGATTAGAACGCATGATGACCATAATGCCACAATTTCACAACTTGACACAGAAACACTGATGCACTCAAAGTTTCCTTCTATTGCAGAATTCTTCTTTTTTTTTTCAAACTATATTTATCACTGGGCCATGACGACCAGAAAGTGAGTTTAAGTCAAACTGACCTGTCTGTAATTTTCCATCTTCTGAGAGGAAAGGGAGAATGTGGTAATTGTTAGGACCATTTTGCCATGAATAGCCAAGCTGTGTTTATCACTAGCCTAATAGGGAGTCATTCAGTGAACCATGTTCTTGATTTCATCACTCCCCAGGGAAAGATTTCCACTTGGTCACATCTGCAGTTCTGTCAAAATGACGGCCCCTTGTGCCATCAAAATGCCCAATGTAAATGAGAATAGCTACTTTATTAAATTCACAGTATGGGTAGGCAATTAAATATATCTTCCCCTGTAATCTTCATAGGATTTTAGAAAGAAATCACATGCTCATTGTTGTGCTGATGGGGAAACTGAGGTCTTGTGAATTCCCATAACTTTCTTAATGGTGATGCCTGTCTCGTGATGGTTGCAGCCACCATTTCTGTATCCCAAAGTGAACCGGCTTGAACCTGAAAGCCTGTCATAGCATAGTAAGAAGCTCAGTGTGTCTCACAGTGGATCACCTTAATTCACTGACATGTTAATACTTCTTGTGGTGTCTGAGAAGGTGAAAATAGTTCTGAGAAACCAGACAGGACAATGAGTCTTTCAAATACGTACTTTGAAATGTTGCCTGGGAGTGTTGAGACTATAAAAATATGCTTTAGAGAAAGCTTTCCGCGTACGATGTAGATAAAGAATTGTCCTAAGATTTGAACCTCTGCAATCATTGCACGACCATTACTCAATGGATGAAAAAGAGAGACATAAACAGCTTGCTCCATAATCAGAATTAAATGACTAAGCAGGCCTCACAATGGTAGGGATTTGCTATTCACAGAAAGACAGATAGACATGTTACCACCACATAACAGAATTTGTGCCCAAGATGTAATTCGGCTGCTTAAGAGTCCTCATGTGGCAAACCTCCATGCTTTTCTCAGGAGTCCTGTAACAAGATGGGCTATCCCCGCTCTTTGAGAAAAACCAAGAGAATATAAGCATGGAAATGTACCAATTTCCAATGAACCATATGTTGTGTTAAAACAGCATTCTCAGCCCGTTTGACATGAAATATGACATCCCATGATTGCTCTTCCTGATGAACGGCACACCACTGTCTATCCATTGCCGGCTTGGATTTCTTCCCTTTTCTTCACAGCTTTTGTGTTAAACTCTGAACTGTGTCTCACGAAACTCATCAGGTGCTGGATATATGTAATTTAAATAAGGCATTCAAAAGGGAAAATATGTTTTCAAGATCCCAAAACCATTAATATTCACATACACATACAGATGCAAAACAGCAAATGAAAAAGACTTTAATCAGAGCCATAGTGCAAAGTATGAGGCTGACAAGAGACTATTTTTCTAAATTTTATCTAATGCTTTTTATGAAAAGCTTTTGAAAATCCACTCTGTATAAATCCAAAGTATGAATAACTATCTTATTTTTAAGAATGTGTAATATAAACACACAAATCTGTTCAAAGATTTTGAAAACAATATAAACATTCTTGTCCTGCCTCAAGAATATATTCAAAGCCTCCTTTTAAAAGATTCTGCTTAGTATCTTATACGTGAAGGCTTGATTTACTAGATCAACTTCTGAAAATGAAGCATAACATTTAAATCTTAGCCCACAATGGAGACTAAGTTCATCCCTATCCAACAGTTTTGCAGTTAGGAATTTATTTGCAAGGAAGTAGTTGTAAATGCCCCATAGGCCTGCCTTCAATCCTGAGATGCCTTTATTATTTTCTTTTTAATCACATCCAATGTGCCCAGGTGTGCCACAGACCTCAGACACCACCACACTATTTCATGGGGTAGATATTATGGAACTCACATAACGTCTGGCAGCTTTCCAGTATGAAAGGTTTCTAGGAAGAGGGCCTGACTCGAAGTGGTCTCACCTGGATTGAAGCCACTCAGTTGTGGGGAGAATAACTTGCATTGTTGTGCATATGCGATCATCTTATCAGATTTTAAAAGCCATTTTAAACATTTTTATTTGTTTTTTCTCATACAATATATTTTGATTATTCTTCTCTCCCCACCCCACAACTCTTCTCGGATCCTCCTCACCAACTCCCTACCCACCCAAGTTCATGTTTCTCTCTCTAAAAAGGAAAAAGAAAAGAGAGCAAGAAAACCTGGAGTCTGCTTTGTGTTGTCCAGCTACTCCTGGACATGAGGCCTGCTCCGTACTGTGGTTGATTGACAGTGTCATTTCACCACAGAAAACTGATTTTTCCCTTTCCCAGCAGGCATAGCTTGCAAATAGCATCTTGGTTAAGGGTGGAACTTTGTGTTTACTTTCCTTTATCAGTCCTGGGATTTTGTCCTGTTTGAACCTGTGTGTGGTTGTCATGGTTTCTGAGAGTACATGGGTGTATCTGTCTTGTTGTGTTTCAAGATGTGATTTTCTTAGCGTCGTCCACCACCTCTGTCATAACCATCTTTCTGCCTTCTCTTCTGCATAGCTCCCTAAGCCTTTTAGGAAGGGGCTTGATAAAGACATCAAATTTAAGACTGAGTTAAAAGTCAAATTTTAAAACGAAACTGAGTATCCTATAATTTTCAAACCACATTCATACCACTGAGAACTTAGAATCATCAAGATGTTTTAGCTCCATTCTTTAGAATCTAAAGAAACAAGGGTACAAATGAGTGGCCTCTTCTAGGCTAAGCCCCAAGTGGATCGATTCTATAAAAAGGACCATATGACTTCTGTGTGTCCTAAGAAGGTAAAACAGCTTGTTTTCTCAGTGTTCAGGACTACTGCCCATTAAATGCTTTCCAGACCGTAAATGCAATCGAGCACTCTCACCAGATTTCCTGAGCTGGAATGCTGATGCGATTGCTGGACAAATGGATATTTTTCATAATCATCTGGTATTGCTAATGTTTACTCAGACTGACCCATCTAATCCCTGAGTGCAGGGTATTTTTAGAGACACAGTGACTCATTTAAGCAAGGAAGTACTGTAAAAGTGAAATACCAGCTCTGAGCTACTGAATACTGTCTGGGCTTGGGCTTCATGGAATAAACAGCCCGAATTCTTATCCTTAATCCCAATGAACAGAGGACAGAGTACAGCCTTGACATCTAAAAGGTCTCAGTCTTGTGTCAGCAAAAATCAGAATTTTCCAAAATATTAGCTACTTAGATCTAAATTCTTTTACTCTGCTGAACTCAATAAAAAAAATTCTGTGAGGGTACTTCCAAGAAACCAATAGGACTTCTGGACCAAGAATATGTGTAAAAAAGCTAGAATTTGCCAAAGGAAATGTGCAACTCTGCTTTCAACTCTGCTCTGGTCATTAAATGTCTGAGACTATTGTTCTAAACATCTTGGCATGTTTAAGTTGGGAGATGTACTATAGATAGTAATTTAAGTTCCAAAGCTTTCTCCAAAAAAAAAAAAACATTCTAGAAGTATGTACACTGGTGTATTTGCATTATACCCAAAATTCAGAACATCAATTGTAGATATAGAAAAATGAAGAAACAAGATCCCTGTTTCTTAGAGTTGACTAACTGAAGACAATTTAGCTTCATGT